TTTGTCCATCCCCAGCCTGTGCCCTCCCAATCCTGCAGCCGTCAGCTCCCTGTGCCCCAGACAGCACTGCCTATTGGAAGCTTCTTCCTCCTTTACTCCCCCTTCTCCATCAACAATGTGGAGGAAACCTGAATCCAGGTGCAGATGCTGCCAGAACACAGCTGGGGGACTTTAGATGAGTCCTTGAAGCTTTAGGGGCTTGGTCTTCTCATCTGAGAGATGAAGGGTGGGTCCAGTGGAGTGCTGAGTCTTCAGGTCGTCTCATTTAACCTTATTCAGTCACCACTCCACCTCTACCAGGGTGGGTAGTCTCACTCCATTTTCAGGGGAGGAAGAGGAGGCACAGAGAGGGACAGTAACTTGTCCTGGGTCCCTTAGCCTCAAACCCAGGTGTGTGACTCTGCAGTGCCACTCCCAGCATGGGCATACCTAGTCAGTGACACACAGACCCCTCCCAGCAGGTCTCGGGTGGGGCTCTGGTAATCAGTTTCTAAGAATCTCTCCTGGTATTTGGGGTGTACGGCCATGCTCATCAACCATGGCCTTAGATGAACTCCAGGTTGTCTCTCAGGGCTCACCTTCTTGTTTTTCTTTTTTTTTTATTTTTTTTTAGTTCCGTAGTACTGAGAATTGAACCCAGGACCTCATGCATGCTAAGCATGCACTCTACCACTGAGCTATACCCTCTCCAGTCAGGGCTCATTTTCATCCTGTCATTATTTACCCTGGCCCAGGGACTCACTTCCTAGCTAAGTTTATCACATAGATGATAAGATACAAAGGCTTCCATTATTACCTGCCCATGAATGTATTTGCATTTCAATAGAAATTTGCAATAGGATGAGGCTTGATGGTTGTGGGGCTGGGAGGAGATTTGGGGTGGGGGTGCTACTTTGGGGCCAGGGACTCCTGTGGGCTCACAGCTCTCAGGTGAGTCCTTGTCCACTTGTGTGTGAGTAGGGAAAGCTGTGCCAGCAGTGGTATCAGATGCCATCTGCCCAGGTTAAGGAGGACACGCACAGGACACACATACACTCACTGCTTAGATGAGACAAATTTCCTCTTCCTTTCGAGATCAGAGAGCAACTGCATTCAGTCTTTCATGATTTAAGAATGTGAAATTAGGGGGTTTTCCTCCACAAAAGCAAGATGATAGTCTGGCATCAGTAAACAAATATGGGCCAACAAACGTCCATTAAGATGCCCATTACATATTTTGAAGATCTCAGGAAATGCCTTAGTTCATGTCTAGGCCTAGGCCTCCGTGTGCTAGTCCTGAAGGAAGCTGTGATGAGTAATGAATGTAAAAGGCCACACAGCCCCACCCCAGAGATGTGGCAGGGACCTAATAAGGCTAAACTCCAGCAGGAGAGCCCTGAGGTTGGTACAAACCAGCCCTTAGGAGGGGAGCAGGGAGAGCTTTCTTGGCTCTCAAGGGTCGAACCGAGAGTTGGAAGAAAAGGAAACGATGCAGGTTGCGTGAGAAGCTGGTGGCCCCTGGAGCAGGTAGCTGTGCAAAGCTGAGTGAATAAGACAGCAGGAGCAGGGAAAAGAGGCTGGGTGAAGCCTTTGATGGATTCCTCTCCTCTGAGGCACAGTGTGCCTTGTGGTCTTCAGTCCCTCCATGGCACATCGTGAGCATTGTCCCTTGGCTGTGCTGGACTGCTGGGAACTCCCTAGTGAACACATCCAAAGGCAGGTGGTCCTCTCTATGAAGGTGTTCACTGCAGTCTCACTGATGTCCCCCCAACTCTGGAAAGCTCCTCCTTATCCAGCGATGTGGTTACGGAAATGATGGTTCTATGCTCAGTCGTTTCATTTTAAACAAAGCGTAAACAATGTGGGACAGTTTTATTAACGACTGGGAAAAAAGCAGAAAACAAAGTTATATAAATCCTGTGATTTGCAAAAATTAGATATGTTTGGAAGCACGCTGAAGGGAATTCAGAAATGAAAACCATTTGCTGGAGGGGTCGAGTAGATGTCTCCTTTTGTCATTTCTTTCAGTATATGACAGTGAATCTAAACAAATTCAGAAGCGTGGCTCTCTCTGAGAGAACTGCAGGATTCTCAGCCCTGCGTACATCTTAAACTCACACAAAGCTTGTCCTGCTGCTAAGAAGCCAGCAAGTCAGGTCAGGGCTCTGCCAGCTCTGAGCTCCCCACCCTCCAAGGATGTTATGAGCACAAAGTGACTCGTGTTGAGGGTGTCTGCAGAAGTGAGTGGCCTTCCTTTAAATAAGAACAAGGGACTGAATGAACTAAAAGCTGATTTACTTACAAACAGATAACCCCCAAGGGAGAACCACTTTGAGAATGATTTTTCGAATACAACTATGCCTCCATGCTCAGAAAATCATACCCTCCTGATGAAATTACTTGAGGAAATCGTTTACTTACCCAAGGAGAGGACAGTCACGTTTTCTCTAATGCCAGCACTAACTTCTGGAGGCTGTGTGCCTCTGTGTGGACCGGATTTTCGTCTGAAGAACTACCTCTGCTTGGTAAATGAAAATGGAGGCTCGGGAAATAAGGATTTGGTTGTCTTTTTAGAAGCTTCAGATGCAGGTTGCTCCTAATGCGTCTCTCTTGGTGCCGCCTGGAGATCTCAGGAAGGCGCCTGTTCCTCTGTTAGAGTTTCAGCAATGTAAGGAGGTCGCTGCCTGTGTTTTATACCCTGTTCTGAGTTATACCAGAGATTCAGAGCTAGGGAAAATGTCATTTTTTGTTTGTTTGTCTTTTATTGAAGTATAGATGATTTACAATGATGTGTTAATTTCTGGTGTAAAAAATGTGCTTATTTTAACACAGATTTAAATTCTGCGTGGCTCATTCTGCAATTTTAGCATCGAGACTTCTTCATACAAGGTTTTCTTTTATCAGCAACATACACCCTGGCCATTTTCCCCCAGAACAACACAGCTCATCTCACTGCCATGAGATGTGTTTATGACTCTAAAATCTAGAAACTAAAATGTAGTTTTAAAAAAGTAAGAGAAGCCAGTCTGCAAAGGTTACATTCTATATAATTTGAATTAGATGGCATTCTGGAAAAGGGAAAACTATGGGATAGTAAAAAGGTCAGTGATTGCGGGGACTTATAGGGCAGCGAAACGGTTATTCTGTACAATGCTGTAACAGTGGATACACGTCATTATACATTTGTCAAAGCCCATAGAATACACGACACAGTGAACTGTAATGTAGGCTATGGACTTTGGTTAATAATAATAGATTAAGATGGGCTCATCAGTTGTAACAAATGTGCCACACTAAGATGTTAATAATAGGGGTAGGAGGAGAGAGAGTGTACGGAAACTCTCTTTACTTTTCACTCAGTATTTTTTTTAAAAAACCTAAAACCACCCAAAAAAGTTTATTAACTAAAAAAAAAAAACAGCCAGTTTGGCCTCATGGCGTCTCCATGGAGATGGGGAGGCCGTGGATAACATGTGTTCTACTTAGTTTTCTGTGGTCCCCAATGTGTAGCCTCAAGCAATTTCATTTGAAAATAGTTATCAGTATATTCAGTCTTCTCTTTCTGGTGGTGGTTGCTATTACTAGTCTCTTTCTTTAAATACAAACCAAAAAGAAGAAGAATATAAAATTAGCTTACCCTCTTCTCAAGAAGTTCCTGTTTTTCTCCATCAGAGATTTCATTACACCCCTTCCAGGAGTCCAGCAGTTGGCAGCTTTGCCACACTGCAGGGGCCTGCTTACTTGACTTTCGAGGTGTCTTGGCCAAAAAGGAAAGCCAGTGCTTGCTACCCTTTTAAAGGTCGGTTCTGGCCAGTGAAGTCAGTGGCTCGGTTTCTTTGCACAAAAGGGGTGCTTATTCTTCTCCTGCGGTGTGGGAGGGGCCGTGGTTGGGCGGTACCCACAGGAAATATGTACACACTGTAGAGAGCATCGCTGGGGGCGGCACAAATCAGGGTGAGGAGCTGCCGTTCTGGCCAAAGGAAAACCCACACTTACAAATTTGCAAGTCAACCAAAGAAAGCCGTGTACTAAGTGCTGCATTTCACAGCATATAAAGTGCATTTCCCTCCGGAGGGAGAAGTGTGTCCAACACCTGCCCTGTGTTCAGTGTGCCTTCATCACACACACGTACCCAGTGACAGACAAAAGAAGGAGGCTGGCATAAAGGCCGAGGAGATCCATGTTATCTCATGATGTCAGTTGTATCAGTACGCCCAGGAACAAAATTAAATTTCTCGCTAAGAAGACGACAGTAAAAGTACATTCAACATACATAGATAGTAAAGTTTTTCTTTTCCAAAGAAGGTCTTAAGAAGTGGGATGTGTCTTATTTATATACCAGCTGCTCATCTTACATATCAGCGGAGTAAGCAAGATCTTCTCTAGGCCAACAATCTGATTCTCCCCTATAATATTTTCTTGGGCTTGATTTCCCACATAAAACTCTGCCGAGGTTGCAAAAATGTGTCACTAGCTCATTGGTGGCCCCCCAGCTCTGTGTTCAGTTTCTGCCTACTCCCAAAAACCTCTGGGACGAGAGCACGAGAATTCACCTCCGTGGAACCAGAAAGATGCAGAGGGCAACCCAGGCATCCTTGATTTTCTCTGAAAATTCCATGTGCTTCAATTTTTTAAAACCTCACATGTGAATTCGGCTAAGAGTAAATGGAGAGTAAAAAAAATAAAATCTAGAGAAATACATTGTCATACATTTTAATTTAATTCTGGAAGAGAGAAGAAATATTTCTTACTCCCTGAAATGTCCTTTCTCTTTCACAATCAGCTCACGGGCAGAATAAGGATCAGCTGGAGGTGGTAAGAAAGTCAACAGAGGGCTGAATACCAACAGCTGGGGTTCTCTGCTTCCAAATGTGCCGACAAGCATTTGATTCCTTGCTCTAAGGATGTACAAAACAGTCTACTTGAAGCTTATTGAAAATAACCCTGGAAGACATTTGTGTCTCAAGTTGGACTCTTGGAAGCCACTTTCTCAACCTTGTCCATGTCTCTTTCCTCTGCAGGGCGACAGGCTTTGGCTTCTTGAATGCACTATGCAAAGCAGCGGCCGTCCTTGGAAACTTAATATTCGGCTCCCTGGTCAGCATCACCAAAGCAATCCCCATTCTGCTGGCCTCCACTGTGCTCGTGTGTGGAGGACTGGTGGGTTTGCGCCTTCCTGACACACGAACCCAGGTCCTGATGTAATGGGAAAAAAGCCATCCGTCCAGTGTTTCTGTCTCCTGCCCCGTGTCAACGCTCCTGAATGACTCAAGGCTCCAGATTTTTCAGATCGAGGAAGGTGGTCAAATACCAGAACACGAACTCTTGCTGTGACAAAAATTCAGCTGTATACCATCTTGCTCCTTAAATGTGATTTTGCACAGTTTTTTTTTTTCCATGCATTGTTGTCTTTCCTAACTAGGATGCTACTGCCTCCCCAAAATCAGGGGAAGCATTTTTCAGATGTCCCAGTCCACCAGGTCATCCTGAGATTCTGCTCGCTGAAAATATAGAAGCTAAGAAGAGGACTGGGCTGCTGTAAGAAGCAGATCCTGCCCCTAACTCAGCATTCCCAGGGAAGATAAGCTGGCATTTTATTATTATTGCGTTTGTGCTGAGGAGAGGGATTCTTTTTTTTTTTTCAAACAGAGTGATATTTCCTGTTTACTTAGAAAAGGACACCCAGCAATTCTTGCTGTTACAGCAGAGCCTTTCAAAAAAAGCCATGTGGTACCAAACAGAGCTGGGTGGGGCTCTTTTCAGGCATGACAATGAAGGTGACTCTGCTGACAAGAAAAACAGAGGCACTGCCGTTAGCAGCAAAGATCTGAGTGAGCTGCAGAAGCAAGATTTCTGCCAGAGAGCCCAGTGAAGCTTCTGAAAAACAGGAGAAAAAGTGATCGTAATCGTGTCTGTGATTGTGGCATGCGGTTCAGACTGTCAGAAAAGTCAGAGCTCAGAGAGATCTTCTGCCTCCGTTCGCCCCCGCCCCCGCCCCACTCACAGCTGCCACTGATCTTGCCAGATAGCGGAGTCACAGAGGAAAAAAGCCACTTTCTCAAAACAGGGTCTGCCCACCTGAGTCTGCCCTTCATCCAGACTCTCTAGTCTAAAGATCGTCAGTCATCTAAGTTGTTGTAAGTTGCAGATGAGGAAGAAATTCACACCTAAAGCCATGTGTCAATGTCAAAGGATACCTCAGGGTTGGGTACCAATTTCCAGAGGGCTGGTGCCCCCGGGGAATTGACATTGGCCTAATCAGCATCACCCAAGTGGGTCCCATTTCGCTAGATTTTCTCTGGGCTGGGGCGCTGATCAGCGTGTTCCTGGCTGCCGCCTCTGTGTGAAATCACAGCCTGCTGTGTTCCGAGGGGCCCCTCCGGCAGACAAGGGCAGCGTCTCCTGGTGGGTTTTGGCTGCTCATTTTACCTCCGGAATCTGCCTGGGCCTGAAAGAGAGAGGTCAGCAAGACATTCCCACGGGCTGTCAGCTATGTGACCTTCTCACCCCTCGGGGCTGCCCCTCCTCCACGCTGGTCCTTTTTACTCATCTTCTTTGAAATCTGAAGCCTCCGTGTAGACTTGCAGTGACGACCAGCCACCAGGAATAAATCCCATATTAAAACAATATTCCTTTTTAAAACTCTTCTGTCTTGTTAAAAGGTTATCCTTGTTGCTTATTATAGGCATTTCCAACAGGGCAGCCTGGAGGCCTCCAAGAAGGGAGAGCCTTTGTTTCCAGGAGTCATTACATTCAAAGATGTCTTAACCCCAGAGGCCACTCTGCCTCTCTCTCCCCTTCCTAACATCCCTCTAAAGCTCCAGACTGCAGAGTTCAGACTCTGTGAAAAGCTTCTTTCATTAACATAAGCCATTAATCGACTCTCCCTTGATGTAATTCAGGCCTGTGGAGGGGGGCAGTGGTGTGGGGGGCCGGTAGGAAGAGAGAGGAGAGTTCCCTGGGGATGTGGGCTTAGGGCCAGAACATCAGGAAAACTCAAACCAAAAACTGCACAAGTGGCAGGAGGAAGGAAAATCGATCAAGATGAGGCGAGATCTATTAGAACCGTCTCAGCAGAGCAGCTAGAGAAACAGAACTCACTCTCACGTCTGCCTCCTGGCATATTATTGGAGGAGAAAGGTAACAGTCAAACAGCCCACGCCAGTACCCTGTACGTTTGTCTTCTTCCATATGTATGTGTCTCCCCACCTACCTACCCCTTGATTTATCTTCTTAAAAAAGACCTATGCGGGGACCTGAGCAAGATTCTTACTTGAATGCGGCAGGTGCAGAAATAACAGCGAAAGTAACATGTGTGTCTCTGCCGACCTATTCGAAAGAAAACTGGAAACGTGCACGAATGTCGCTGTTCTAGTCTCCCCTAACAGTTAACTTTACTTACTGGACTGTTTTTCCTTTTACAAATGTCTCACATGTCTGTTATAGTTCTAAATGCATAAAATACCCAGAGCAGGGTTTACGTAGAGTTTTATTTGAACCCCGGCTGGGGTCAGAATAGGAGAAGCCAGCAGAACCCCAAACCCCACTTGATGAGACCTGCCATCAGGCATCCCCTTCAGAGTGACCTTCCTTGACCTTGTCACCTAATCCAAGCCTCCCGGGTGGCCCAAGAGGGATCTTTTCTAACCTTCTGGACAGTCTGTGGTCACAAACCTTCTTGGCCACCACCTTTTCTCCCTTTCATGTGGTTTTCCCTGCCCCCCTCCCACATTCCTGTCACCTTGATTTTGTACGAGAGAGCTCAAGTTCTTCCCCAAGTATGCGGTGTGGCCTGTCGGGCTTGTTCTGGGGTTAGCGCGATTGAGATACAGCTGTGAGATTAGACAGACACTCTCAGTCCCATCAGTGCAGCAGGCCGTTGGCTCACAGACATGCAACCAGCATCTCATTTCACCTGCAGGTGAAAGAAAATGAGAGTAGGTGTGCGAAGGAAAGCCTAGGAAACATCCCACTTGCTCCTCTATTTCTCCTTTTCTTTCTAAAATGTCCTTATAGCCTTTTGAATCAACCCAGAATGCTCCTGAATCCTATTATCATTGCTGGGTCCTCTCAGTAGGGAAAAAACTCATCTGCTCCAAACTGTAAGTCCTGTACCACATAACACCCCAAGCAGGGGATCTTACCCTGCACACGTTTAATCTTGCCGCCTTGGAAGCCAGAGCCGGCAGCAGGGCTCATCTTCCACCCAGAGGACTGACCCTGGGGGATAAGTAGATGGGTCCAAGCCCAAGCTCCAGCACTAACCAACAGTGAGACCCAGATCTTGCTGAGGAGAATGTAGGTCATTGAACATCTCTGGTCCTCAGTTTCCGCATCTAGAGAGTAAAGGGTTGGGACCAGTTTGCTATTGGGACTAGTTCGAGATTCTAGAGGATTTTCAGGAAAGTAGCTTTGTCTTACTCTCTACGGTCTTCTGATGCTGAGCTCATCTTTACAAGCACCAAAAGGGTTTAGTTTAGAAACTGAAAAATTAGGAAATAGGCAATCATACAAGAACTCAGGAAGCTGTTTGGGAAGCCCCTGTGGAATAGGCGGGAACATGGTTCCCATGTTGTTTGTGCTGTCAGCTTCTCAGGGTCCTGAGCCTTATCTCCATCCACTGCTGGTCTGACAGTTACCAGTGCCTGTCCAGGAAAGGGCCCCACCCTGCCAGATGTAGACAGTTAGAAGACACTCTGATCACAGTACTATCACAGGGGCTGCATCCTAGAGCTCTCCTGACTACTCCATCTTCTTCTTGAAACACGGTCTTATGTAGGCCTGGGCCTTCAGAAACAGAGTTTTTAAGTGACTTCACCTGAATTGGCAAATGCTCCTTCATTTACCAATCTCACCAAATCTAAGTTCAGGTCTGTCCCCAAAACTGCTTAGATGCTTTTCTGTATGTCTTGAGATATCAAGGGAGAGGCGAGAAAAGAAACGTAGTGACAGAAGGGACAGTCTAAGTTACTGAGAATGTTCCAGTGAAGGGATTAGGGCAAGTTGAGACCTTTCTAACCCTGGGATCATTTCAAAAGCACTCCGTGGAAATAGCTTCTGATTCCCTCTGCCAACCAAAATAGAATGTGATACTCTCCAATTTTTTTCTGTTGAATATCAAAATGGCCTTTAACTATTTCTTCAGTAAAGCACCTCACTTGTTTATGCATTAAAGGCTCTGAAGTCAGAAGTGTATGAATTTGGCCTTCACCTGACATTGTAAAAAGACAGTTGGTTGATTGTTAAGGTGCATGTTGGCTGTATGTTTGGTTTTCCATTAACCCCCATATCATGCTGAACTTAGTCCAGATATCAAACCTACAGAAACACCAGTCAGATTGCAACAATAAAGAGAAAGCTACACCACAGGGCACTCTGAAATGGACTATATATACATTTTTTATACTTTGGTTTCTGCCAAGCAAAGTGTGTTTTGAGAAACGCTTCTCTTGGAATCTGTGTAACATGGACAAAATCGTATCTTCTAGGTGTATCGTGTGTCCACTGTTTCAGATATGGAGTGACAGTTCTCCATATGATGTTCTTTTGCTCTGAATCTTGACCATTCCTCAATCAATACAATGTAAATAGTGTCTCACCAACCAGACACAACCATTGGCAGGGCTGACTTCGGTCTTTCTCAAACAAGAGCTCAATCCAGTTTAGTAATCCCAGGACTGCGAGTTACAAGGAGATAGTTCGTGGGCCTTAGTTTCAGGCTAGCAGCTCTGGGTCGGGAAGGAGCTGGGCAGAACATTCCCTGACCTCTTGTCATCTCGTGTGATTACTCTATTTATTGAGCAACTGGCACGTGCTAGGTGGAGGTGCTGTGCTGTGCGCAGGTGGTTAGCCCTTGGTGGGACTTGAATAAGGGCAGGGAAACGGGGATGAAGGAGAAGCACCTGTAATTGGGGGTCTCATATCGACTCCCTCCCCATAACACAGCATTGTTTTTCCATATTTGAAAGAAGTAATAACCTACCGTGGACACTGCAGGAACTACTCAAGCTGGGAGTGTCTCTGACAGGAGGAGAAAGGCCCTCCGTTCCTTGGCCTTTGTTGAAAGAACTCCTATCTAGTTTGTACTTGGAAAAGGAGAAAAATGGAGCTGTCCAAGAGCCACGTCTTTAAATGTCCTGGCAGGAAACCACGCTAAGGTATTATTCAAGGAAAAGAACCATCAGCAAAGCTAGCCCCAACTTTGTAGAGGTGTTCATTGTTAAAGTGCTTCTGGGGCATCTTTTCATGGCCTGAAACTGGAGGTGGGGGCTGGGAAGTGTGTTCCAGAGCCAGCAGTGCTGGGACTTTCTCTCCAGAGCAGAGTCAGCAAATCCTGCCATGTCCCTGGCCTCAGCTTCCGAGGGGGTTTCCTTTCTGACTTTGAAGGCTTGTGACAAAGTCAGTGGTCTACAGATAACCTACAGTGGCTTTTCCCCTCCCTCCTTTCAGCAGATAAGCCACCCGGAGAACAAGTTCTGACCATCAGTAGCGATTTTCAGATTTCTGTTTAAAACCAGTGCTTGGTGTTGAAAAGTGTCCCGAAGCTGCAAAGGACCTTCAGGGTCTGGGGCCTGAGAGGGCAGAGCAGAGAGAGGGTGGTTGTCAGTGGCCCCTACTCTCCCCTCCCAGAGTCCCAATTTCCTTTGTCACCCACTAGCTTTCTCGTCCTTACCTCCTCCAGTCAGGGCACACTAACTTCCTTTCTCTCCCTTCTGTTCCTCCCCCTTTCCTCCGTCACCTCTTGACTCCAGCTGTGTTGGAGAGCGAGGCCAGGCTTTACCGGGGCCCTTCGGACTAAGGGCTGTGCCGCCCCGTACGTGCTGCGGAGGCCCAGGGGATGGAGAAAGGGGAGAGCAGGACTCGGTGCAGGGCTGTGAGCTCTAGACTTGGCTTTGACGCAGCTCCCTGGGCTGGGCAAGCTTTCCAACTGCTTCCCAACTCCTGCGCCTGATGGGATGGGCACTACTGGCCTGAGATCTGAAGGAGGCCCATGTCTGGGGCAGAAGTCTTAGAGCTCGACGCCTGACTCCTGAAATGGAGGACGCTTGCAGCGAGGTCTCCAGAATTAGTTGACCTGGGGGAGGTAGCCACAGCTCTCCATGCCTGCGATGGTCCTACTTGGTGCTGAGGGCTGGGTGCTCCACTCAGATTTCAATGCTGAAATTGCAGAGGTCGTCCCCTCTCTGCCCACCCCACCACCCTGGTGCTCCCTTCAAGCCAAGGGGGCCCAGAACCAGGAGGAGGAGAAAGCAGCCCTCAGCCCTCTGTTCAGACTCAGACAGGGGTTGACACTGAGCTAGTGCCTCGGCTAGAAGCTGGGGTGCTGAGTCCTAAGCAGCTTGCAGGTGCCCGGAGTGTCTGCTCATGGGGGCCAAGTCATCGAAAGCCTGTGGTGTGCAGGAGCAGGCACAGATCAGTTCCTCAGAGCCCTTTGTTTCAGGAATTTTGTGAGCCAGTTGAGAAACAGCCATTATTAAAAATTAAACTATGTAAACTTACAATTAAATGATATTTAAAAACAAAGGTAATAAGCATTCAAAACTTTCTAATTATTTTACTGCATTTACTGCATAGCTATGTCCTTGAGGTAGTCTACACCTATTGTGTCTGCCTGGTAGAAATACTGTGTGATGCTGGGCTACTGAACACGTCTTTCCAGCTGCAGGCTCAGTGACGTCACCCTGGTAGCTTGAAATTGGCCATGGTGGGAGTATGTACTCCATGGATAGTGACAAAGGCTAGAAATCAGACTCCTCCCCCTGGACAGTGGTTTGCCTGCACACCACCACCTGAAGTCCTGGCCAGTGCGTGGCCCCCCACCGCACAGCCCCAGGTCACGCCAGGTCGAGTCCTGTGGGTTTGGTTTGGAGGCCAGCACTGTCCACAAATGCAAGGAAAAGACTTAGCAAGTCCAGACTCGTGTCGGTTCACAAAGGGTTTCTTCCTGTATTTGTTCCGATTCAGAGTGAGACCCGCAGTGCAGAGAGTCCACCACTCTCTATGTGTATTGTTCCTTCGGGGAGGATGTACAGCAAATTGGCTATTTTACGCTGTGCAAACAAAAATAAATTTGTTTGAAGTTACAGTATTTCCCCCCTCATACCCAAGCAGGCATTGAAGAAGGAAACTCCTTGCTTTTGACATTCACCAGGCCTGCCTGGATAGAACTGGACAGATTGCCTTCATCTCATTTCCTCTGTTATTGTTATCCATTAATTGTACTGAATCTATGTCCTAAATCAAACAGGAAAAAAAAAAAGAATTGTTCTTTTTGATGAGTGCTTTCACAGCAACCAAAATGCGGTTATGTTTCCTTGTCCTGAAGCAGGAACATATTGAACAGACCGTATGTCCTTCACTAATGTCTGGATACTGTAAATAAAATCCTAGGAGCGTTTTTCTTTCAAGTGAACCTCCATTTTGGACACACGCTAAACGAACCATCCACTCTCCTTTGCAATGAGACCTTGGCAGTGGTCCTCTCCTTGATTTTGGTGTCTGGGTGTTTCATTTTGTCTCTTTTCTTTTCTGTTTTTACTGCTCTGTAAGCCCTTCCGCTATGAATGTTCCCATTACCCTAAGTGTACTGTATATATGTGCTGCATGTGTGAACCCCAATAGATTCTGTTTCAGGTTTCTGGAGTTTTCATCTTCAGTACAGCTGGTCCTGTTGTGAACTCATCTTTCTGGTATGCTCCTCTGTGTCATTTTCCTGCCGTATTGCCAAAATGTTTGACCAAGTGTGTTTTAACAAATGCCCGAGACGGCCATGCATATCCTTGTGTGAGGGCATGCTTCGTGTGGGATGACTCGTGCGCAGCGTAAATCTCTCAACTGTGGAAGTGTGTGTACATTTGTGTGCCAGGCACCTAACATTCATGTAACAGCTGCAAAGATATTTAACGGACATCAGAGTAATAAAAGAGCATTTTTTGCTCCATTATATTCAAATAAAGATTGCTGTGTGACTGACTTCCCTTCCAAGCATGAATTGACCCTTAAAAAAATAAGTACTGTTTTTGACGTTCTTGGGCATAAAGAAAACCTGTTTCCCTTGATTCAGGCTTGTTTGAATTGTTTCTGTGGGCTGATGTCGTGGGTCTTGGTGCCTTGTTTGATTTTACAGGAATACTTTCTAATTGTTAGCCAGGACCCGTGGGAAGAAAATGTCTGTGGGGGAGTTTGCGGCAGAACACATGCTGTGTCCTTCTGCCCCAGAGCCGGAATGGCAAACCGATTTTTATCTAGCGTGTTAACTCCAGCCGATCGGTAGTGTCTGCTTGGAACATTAGTTTGAGAAGAATGATGAGAAAAAGTGCTATATATTATAGCATTGGCATTGGAGGCAAAAACATGAACTGCTTGCCATGGATTTGCTAATCCCCAAAGAATACTTTTGACTGCATCTAGCAGAAGACCCAGCTTCAAATATCTTTACTAATAAAGGGAATTGTTATTACACATAACAAAGGAGGGAGGACCATCCCAAAGTTTGTTGTGATGTGGCTTGGCAACACCATCACTGAAGACCCAGGTTCTTTCCGTCTTTGAGGTCAGCCGTTCTCAGCATACTGGTTTTTGTCCCCTTGTGGGAGTGAAATGGTTCCAGCAGTTCTAAACATCAGATCTTCACGCAAAAATCCAAGGGCCAGAAGAGGGACCCTCCCCTCTTTGCAATCCTGTCTAAGATCAAGGAGAACATTCTCAGAATTCTCCAGCGGACTTTCCCGTCTGTCTCCTTGGTTGGATTGGCATCATTCGCCTGCTCCTAAACTAATCGCTAGCAAAGGGAATATAATGACCATGCCTGGCTTAGACAAGTCAGATTTACTCCCCCCCCAGGGAGCTTGGGAGGAGCTCACTCCCCCAAAGCACATGGCTTCTGACTGCCTGAACAAAGCTGGGGCTTAGTGAGCAAGGACGAGGGAAGGCAGCCATCGGGTAAGCAAACACCAGGGCCATGAACTCTAGAGTCATACTAACACCACAGCCCTACATAGCCATTTATACTTAAACTTAAAATGACTAAAATTGAGAATTTAGTTCCTCGGTCACACTCAGCCACGTTTCAGGAGCTAAGTGACCACAGGACTAGCGGCTGCCATACTGGACAGCGCAGATTTTATCATCACTGAAGGCTGGGTTGCCATAACTAAGTGTCACAAACGAGTGCAGGCTTACACAACATAAATCAATTTTCTCACAGTGTTCCAGGCTGGAAGTCTAAGATCAAGGTGTAGACAGGACTGGTTTCTTCTGAGGCTTCGCTCTTGGTTTTAGATGGCTGACTTTCTGTGTCATCACATGGTCTTCTCTTGGTACTTGTGTGTCTTAATCTCCTCTTCTAAGAAGGGCATCAGTCATTTTGGGTTAGGGCTCACCCTCATACCCTCATTTAACTTAATTACCTCTTTAAAGGATGCAGTTGCATTCTAAGGTACTGGGGGCTAGGACTTCAAAATATAAAATTCGAAGGCGGGTGGGGGACACAGTTCAGCCCATAATGCTATCCCAAATGCTACTGATTTTAGTGTGTGTGTATATTGTGTGTAGAATTGTGTTGTGTGTATATGCAGACACAGAACGTCAGTGTGCCTGTGGTCACAGAGTGGTGCAGGCTGTGTGTCTATATTTACTCTTTTGTGGGCTCTTCATTCAGTGGAGGGACATAAAGAGAGAGTTGAGGAATAATCCTTGATCCCCACACTCATAAGCCAGAAACAGAGAACGCTGGGGGACACCCCAGCACAGGCTAGCCAGGCTGCGAGGCCGGTGTCAGGCTGTCCTTAGACCAGTGACTCCACCTCCTTCAGCCTCTCTGCTTATTAGAATTCCAAATGAGACCTTGCTCTCTCTGTGCAATCGTTTTCTCTAATCCTGGAGTCCATGGGTGCATCGTTCCCGCCCTGCACCGCGGCCTCTGTGGGCCTGTCCCTGTGAAGCTTCCAGCAGCCTGTGCCCTGGTTGGCTGTGAGGGGAGCCAGAAGGAGAAGCATTCCCGGAGCTGGGGTAGCCCACGTCAGCCTATGCTCACCACGGTCTCTTTGTTCAGTGGGGGAGAGCAGATGCCTCGTCATCTCCTGTAATTTGCAGTCCAGACACCAGGTGGAGAAGTGAAAATCAAAGGAGACAAATTCCTGAAGCAAACACAAGCTCCAGCCCTGGGGCCAGAGTGAATGAGCTGGTGTGACCTGGGATCGTAGAGGACACAGTATGATCCGACCCTGACTCCGAGTGCACAGGCAGCCACCTGTCTTCGGTTATATGTCTGTGTCCACTGCCCAAAAGCCCATGGGGAGGCAGAGCAGACCATGCGTGTGGCAGCCCCGCTCCTCCCACCTGCTCACCTCTGCTTCCTTGCTCCTAAGGTGGTACCAAGATTCCCTTTGGACCAAGATGTCCAAGGAAATCTCATCTGCAAATTCAGCTTTGGATGGGGCTGTATAGAAACACACTGCACAGTACAAAAGGCTAAGTGGTACGTAAGGTTCCCTCAGCCCTTTTTCGCTCTTTGAAAACACTGGAAGTTTCCCACTGCAGGCTGGTCACTGGCCTCTCCTGGGGGCTTCGCTGCACAGTTGCACCCTCTTCAGCCTCCTGCCTGCCTTCAAGGGCCCCTGCAGCCTCCCATCTACGTCAGAGGACACCTGTGGCACTTTCTCAAGTGCTGGAGCTCAGGCTTTTCCAGGCCTCCAAGCCCCATTTCTCTGTCCACACTAAGGACCGGGGGACCTTCTGATGCTAAGAACTTTATGAGTTTGGGCACAATCAGTTCCAGGTTTGGGGAGTCCTCTTTAGGAAAAATGATGTGAAATTTTAAACAAAAAATTAGCAACAAAAGTAACTATTTAGTAGGAGAAAAGAAACCCCCCACAAGTTATAGAATTTTTTAAACTGATAAATATCACAGACTGTAACAAAACCCAGAAAAATTTTATAATTTTTTTTGTTAACTCACTGCCTGACACACCTCTATAATTTTTTATATTTTTTGGCTGCATGCTGTTTGATTGCTTCTTTATATATGATGACAGTTTTGTGATATCATTATAGCGAGAACAGAAAGATAAAAGTTAGTTTTGATTACTAATGATTTTTTTGAAAGTTTCGTATCTCTTCTCCATTTCCACATACTTCCGGTGCTGAAGACACAGGCCACATTTATAGCTGCAGTCCAGTCTCTGGCTTGGTATGTTGGAGTCGCGGGGCCAGGTAAGTGGGCACAGTGGGCGGTCGTATTCCTAGAAGCTCTTCCTTCAGGGGGACAGCTCGGGGCGACCTAACAGTCACAGACGTGGTTGTGAGCCACATCGGTGCAACCCACCGAAACCCGGGTCAACGTAGCCCAACTCAAGTTCCTCTCAGCCAGGTCCTCGCGCTGCCCAGCTCCACCCCCCACCCGGGCGAGTCTGAGGGAGTGAGGACGAAGTAGAAGGAAATGGTAACTGAGGACATAATCTATTAATTCTGCGACTTGGCTTTTGTTTTGCAAATTTTTGTATAGCATATGACCAGGTGAGCACATTGCTATGGCCCTCCAAGTTCCTTAGATGGGACCCATGCAAACAGGGGGCTCTGAGGCTGAATCTTCATTAGCTTATGGGAAACACTCCTCTGAGGGTTTTTTGTACCCTCAAAAGTCTTGCATTTATTTTCTTTGAACTTTTGAGTCGGTGTTTATACACTTTAAAAATTGATGTATAACACACACATGGTAAAGAGAGTACTTCTCAAGTATACAGCTTGATCATTTTTACATACGTATACGCTCACACAACCATCACACAGATAAGGATATAAAACATTACCATCAAGCCAGAGAGTTCCCGCATCCAGTCAGTACCACCCCCACTAGTGATGTAACCACTATTCAGACTTCTCTCAAGTCTTAGACAAGCTTTGCTTGTTCTTGAACTTCACGTAAGAGAAAGCAGGCAGTGTGTACTCATGTGCATCGTGGCTTCTGTATAACGTCTTGTCTGTGACATCCTCTGAGTTTTGACCTTACACAGATGTGGGTTTGAATCCTGACTCTGCCACTTTGCAGCTATGAGTGCACGGTGGAAGTGAAATTAGTCTTTCTGGGTGTTCATTTCTGCAGCTACACATTGGACATGATGATTGATTGTACTTCACTGAAGCCTGTAAGTATTGAGAAAATGTATATGCAAAGTGCCCGGCCCATAAATCCTCCGTAAATGGTATCACTGTGATGAGCATGATTGGCTCAAACCTGCTGCTGGAGGCAGGTCTGCATTTCCCTTCACAGGAGGCTGTTGAGGGGCCATGGTCATGGGAGCCAGATGTCCTGGGCGTGCTCAGATGGGGTGGAGTCCCGGCATTGCCTAAGTCTCACAGGACTCCTCACAAGGCGATCTCTATTTTCTATTGTCATTGGCATGCATAGCAGGTACCTGGGTGTGTGGTGACCCTGGTAGCAACTCTGAGTGACTCACCCACGGCCCCCAAACTCGGCTCTGCTCTGCTTCCCGTGAAGGCAGTCTGCACAGCGCCTTGCGTGAGTCCCCAGATGCCCAGCTCCATGGGAGGGCCTCTGGCAGCCGGGAAGGGAAGGGGGCAGAAGCAGTGGGGCACAAACCAGGATGCTGGGGCCTTACTGACCCCCGCTGTCCTGAGTACACAGGATGAGGCGTGGCGGTCCTGGCACTACCAAACTAGAGCCTCTTCCTCTGTTACAAAGGGCTCTGCCATTTGTCCTGCTGGAGGAGAGATGCCCAGACACAGAATGGCTGTCCAGGTCTTCCCCAGGTGTTGCTGTGATGAACCACACCCAGAGGAGTCTTGCTTCCTTGGAACTGAGAAAAAGACCCAGGAGCAGCAGTTCCCAGCAGATCAAGCTAACGTAACTGTGCTGGAGGAAATGAGTAATTTACAGGGAGAAAGCACATGGCGAGACACCATGGCAAGTCAATGGTGACACGTGTCTGGACACCAACACTGTACCACTCTGTGGTGGTTGGTGCTTTACGTACATTATTTTTATTTTTTTTCTTGGTTGCAAACTTTTATTGCACTCTTACATAAGTCGAGCTTTATA